ATTCAAATAGTTTATATGAGCATTCTTCCATAAGGTAGTGTAAATCTGGGTGGTGTTAAATGTGTATGCATATTTTACATTATTACTTTTTTATTTAAAAATGTATATAAATATATATTAGATGTGAATATTAAAAAATAGTGCAATAAAAATGTAAAAATGATATATAAATATCCAGCTTGTTTCTCTAAAAGAAAAAAAATATTTTTATATGTGTAAAAATATTTAAACTTTATTCTTAAAATTTAACATAATCCATGACTAGTAGTTTGAATCTGTCAAATCAACCTTTAAATATACATGTCGGGTCTGTTATATTTGTAGACTATATGATGGTATTGTGACGTGAAGTCTAAGTTGAGTTTAACCGGGATAAATTTTGGACATGATTGTCTAGTCATAATGTGAATATGATATGTGGTATGAACTTGTGTTGATGGGATAACATGATAAATGCGGGTCCTGTGTAATGCATCATAAGCATATTTTATGATGAGTACGATACAGAAAGTTATAATTAGGGAAGGTCCCCATTGTGTGAGCTTAGGAGTCATGACCTTGGGAAAAACCAGGTTTGAAAGATCCAGTTCCCCTCGTTTGTGTGCATTAGGTGAAACTTGGTCGATACCACTATTCAAATGAGTATTGATCTATCTGCTCCTAATGTAGAGTATTGTGATGGCTTGACACAATATGTTCTCTTAGGCTACTCCATGTTTAGGGTTTAGGGTTTAGGGTTCAAACAAGGTTAAAGTGTTTTACTGACTCATATATGCTTATAGTTTAGTGAAGTTTGTGTCTGTTACATTTGTGTGAATCATGACTTATGAATATGTTGGGTTATTCTTAAGTTATCATTGTTGCTTATATTGTACTAATAAATGTTGGTATATGATATATTTTGTTGTGTGACTATCTAGCTATATCTCACACCCATAGCTAGAGTGAGATATTTCTCACTCCTTTTGTTTCGTTTAGTTTTTTTATGTGTTTTGTAGGTGAGGATCATCATCTTGATCATCATTTTCTTTATTACGTTGAGTACATTAGCATGTGAGATAGAGGGTGTTGTCATGCACATGATGACTTAAGACTTTACTTGTCAAATTAAAGACTAGTAGAGATTTTTAGAAAAATTTCAATTCTAGAGCCAAGAGATATTCTTAAGTAACTATGTCCACCAAAGTAGGATTTAATAGTCATAGAGAGTATTGTGTGTAAGTAAAATAGATAAAATAAGAAGGAAAAAAAAGCTAAAAACTTGTATGTTATGAAATACTTTAATTAACATAAAAAAAATTATAATCTCTTAAAATAAATTGTTGTGTTAAACAAGTTTATTTTAATCCTTTTTTACTAATTTGTTTTTGTTACATAAACTTTAAAATGGGAAATGATATATGATTACATATAAGGTCAGAGTTAATTAATAAATTTTTTAAGAATTTTCAATAATTCCACGAAAATTCTCAAAATGTTTAGTGATTGACTTACCCTTGCATAAGGTCATTATCTATGTACAAAAAAAATAATAATAAAAAAGATTTAAAAATTTCTAAAATGTCTTTCAAATAATTATTTTAAGGCCAAGAAACTCTGCAAAACGCGCAGCTGTATGCTTCCAGATTGGGAACTCGGAAGGAGGTGGGCCTTTAGTATTTGTTGCATCAAAGTTGATCCCATTTACAGAAGCAAATATTTATAGATCTGACGTAATTGGCTTGTTTCAACGTTTTCTTTAATTTAACTTGCATCTAAAATGAGATAATACCAAATACACACAAAGATTCACCGGGTCCGGGACAAAATGAGTGCCTGAAGTTAAACAGCTGAACAAGATAAACTGCAAGATGAAGATCAATAAAAAAGAAAATTTACAGCCACAGGAAAGAGTATATCCAGAATCAAATTACATATACGTATGGCCAAAAATGGGAGAGATATGATGGGCTGTCACCACGCCGGTTTCGCTGCTGCCTATGGCAAGGTTGAGGTTGAGGTAAAATATATCTCCAACCAGAGTTAAAAATTTACGTAATATGTAGCATGTTTTAAGTTTTAATTTTGTTATTATTATTGTTAAAGAATAGCAGTAACATATATTTGAAATCCTGAATTGAAAACTACGGTGTAGTCAGCCAAAATGATTGAAATTTGGTATTTTAGAAATTCACTGACAAGTCAATGACCCTAATTATGATACTGATAAAAAAAAATTATTATATTACTTTACACAGTTTCCACCTTATAATAAATGTTAGATTAAAATAAACAAATAAATATTAGTAATTATATTTTTAATATAATAATAATTATTTTTATTTATATTTCTAGTAATATTTTTTTAAAATTAATTATTATATTATATTTAATAATGTTAACAGAATAAGATAGATATGAGTAATAGTTCTTTATTTTTTGTTACGCTGAATAAATATTTATCTCATTTTCATGTATGTTCATATGTGTGTGAATATCTAATAAATAGATATTTATAAATCTTTTAATATTTGTAAACATTCATATATATATATATATAGATATTTATAGAAAAGAATTAAAAATTTTATAAATAATTCAAAAAAATATTTTTGTACCTGAAAATCGTGCTTATTTTTCACGCACGAAACAATCATTTTTGGGTCATTAATATTCATAGGATTGAGACATACCAACCAAGTTTGATCTGGCACTAGGGGTTAGACCACATCATGGTAAACCAACAGTGTCTTTTTCTATGACAAAAAAAATGATGAAATTAACTCTTATAGAGTTTTATATATATATATATATATATATATAACCAGTATTTTAGCTTGTTTGTTAAATAAGATAAATGATTGTTTTTATATAATTAAAATTTATAATAAATAATTATTTTAAATAAATAAATATATTTTAGATTATAATGAATGTTTTAATTTTTAGACAGTTAAATTCTCATTTTTCTCACTCTCATAATTCTATATTCTCAATATTCACTTTTTTGGATATCTATTTCATACTTTCCTTGTAATTTTTTTTGTCTATATATAATTTCTTAATCATCCATTTCAAAATTGTCTTTCTCTCACTCTCTCTTCTTCTACGTACCTTCATTCTCAACCACCTATTCTAAATTATTGTTAAACTTTTAAAAATATTAAAATCAAGTGTACATTGAGATAAAAGAAAATAAATATAAAGAGATAAAATAAAGTAAATTAATTCAATGTTTACTAAAATGAAATAAAAGATAATTAAAAAATAGGAAACCAAATAATTCAGTTTAATGAGTTAAAATTCATACTTTCTAATATTTTAAATTAAAACGAGTATTCCTTTCTAATTTATCTAAATAAGTTAATGAAGTTAGGAAGGTTTGGTCCAGCAAAACAGACAATTCCCTAGGGTGAACTTTATGGTGGAATCTATAATAAACTTTATCTGGTGTATGAAAAGTAAAAAAATAAATAAATAAAGTTGTTCAGTAAGAGAAAAATAAAAAGAAATTGCTTGTGTTTCAAATGAAATAATGAAATATATATTGATTCATTAATTTCAATCCCATATTAGTGAATACTTTATATATATATATTTTAATATAAAATGAATTATAGAAATGTAAAATGGTAGGTGTAGGGTTATATGTAGGACAATGGTGTAGAGGAGAAAAGTGTAGGAAGGAGGGGTACATTAATGGCATGAATCCGTGTGCACGCAATTGGTGAGCAACAACACACTGAATCACTGACACTGTCTGGGCTGATCATGGTCCTCACCTCCTTCCTTCCTTTTTGTCCCCCTCTCTTCCTTTCCCCACCAAAACAAAACCGTATGTGACAAAACTACAATCCCAATTAATTCATAGCACAATACCAGCCACTCTTACCGGAGGAAGGGAGGGAGAGAGGCCTAATTAATTCTAGCTGCACCCTGCACTGCAGGAAGCACATGCCAATACATATCAGTCGTAAAACGGACTATGCATGCATGGTTCACCCCTGAAAGTGACAACACTATTCTAGACTCTAGAGTGTGGAGGAGGTGACGGCTGAGAACTACATCCTGCCTTATGTTAAGGTTTTGTCACCTCCAAATCAAACCTCTCAGCTCTCACCTAATTACCGCTATGTCAATCAAAACGACACTGCCTCCAACACCCACGCTCCATGCACGTGCCCTCAAATTTATATACCCATTACTTTCAATTTACAATCATTTTTCTCTAAAATACATTATCTTTTTTTAAGAACCAAAATTTGTATATCTGTACACATACTTTTATGATGCAATATTTAGAGACACATTCCGGCTGGAATAAGATTTTATTTCCATTCAATATTTATAAGCGCAGTAATTGCTTTTTGTAGACTATTGCAAAAAATGATTTCAACAAATCATGCATCATTCCATCCGCACAATCAATCAGCAATTACAAGTATTCTAGTTTATTAGACATTTTCCTTTATTTTAATTACCCCGCCGTACTATTTTTTGAAGTTGTCCATCAAAAATTCTAACACGTGATAAGCGAAAGAAGACTTGACCTTCTCTCCCTCTTTAAAATCATTAACAATTTGAAATGTGAATAAATTATAGCATGCTTTGCTATATATATTATCCAATTTTTCAAGCGGCAAAAAAAAAGAAGAAAAGAAACTCTTAATTTAGTATGCACAAATTTTATTAGCTAATTAAAATATGGCATAAAGATATTTACCAACTAATCATAAATAATAATTTGAATAATTTATTTTTACAAAAAGTTAATAAGGTAAATTGTTATTTTAAAATAATTAGAATGGAATATTGTGGTATAATCTCTCATAATGTATGATATACACAGACAACATGCATGTGAAAAATCCAAGCATTAAACATGTTTCCGAAAACAAGTGATCCAATTAGCATAGCAAAAGAGATAAGTAATTAACCGAAATTTGAAAAGAGAAAACACAGTTGAAAATATTTAATAATAAAAAGGTGAAGTGCGTGGCAATGTTAGCGATTAAGTCGGGGTAGTGGTATAGCGCAGCAAAACAAAACCTGAAATGACATAGGTAGCGAACATCATGAACCCTGTAACCACGGAACTTTCTCTAATAAAGTAGTTCCGAAGCGGTGTCTCTTGTCGATTTCCGAAACCAAACTTCATTAATAATCATGTCAATGTCGTCGTCGAATTCGCCGTGCGCGGCGTGCAAGATTCAGCGGCGGAAGTGCACGCAGGAGTGCGTGTTCGCGCCGTACTTTCCGCCGGACAACCCGCAGCGGTTTGCCTACGTGCACAAGGTGTTCGGCGCAAGCAACGTGGCCAAACTCCTCAACGAGCTTAACGCGGCGCAGCGCGAGGACGCCGTCAAGTCCCTCGCCTACGAGGCAGAGGCGCGTCTCCGGGACCCCGTGTACGGCTGCGTCGGCCTCATCTCCATCCTCCAGCACCGCCTCAAGCAGCTCCAGACCGAACTCAACCACGCCAAGAGCGAACTCGCCTCTTACATCGGCCCCCACGCTCTCCTCCCTCCCACACCTTCCCCTCCGCCGCCTCCGCCGCCGCAGCAGCAACGCACTTTCTCTCTCTTCCCCTTCGGATTCCACGAGGATGGCCCTTCTCCTTCCCACTCCGCCTTCAACCTCGCCGATCACGCTTTTCCTCACGCGCCCTCGCACCCTCTTCCTCTTCCGCATCACCAGCACCTTATGCGCTCGCAAATGCACCCCAAGTCCCAAACCGACCCTGGTATGCTACCATTATTTTTATTTATTAAAATTCACTTTTTTAAGGGTTTCTATACCATGAGTGAAAAGAACGTAAAAATTACGACTTCAATAAAACTAGAAATTGAAGTAACAGGAACCTGTTTCATTGGAATTAAAAATAGAATCTTGATTTTTGTGCTACTCTTTCTTCAATTTTCTCTTTTGAGCTTTTCTTGTGATAATTTTGCTGCACCTAATCAAGTTAGGGTTTCTGTCCTTCCAATTCGTATGTCTCTGACTATGTGAGTGTATGCTTTCAATTTTGCTGAGTTTTTTGGTATGCTTTCAATTTGTTTGTCTATGAGTCAGGATTTTTTTTTATATATATAGTTTCACTCTTTCAGATTCGTTGTGTTGGAAGGTGTAATTTTGAATGTTCAACTGCTTCTGAAACATTTTAATTTGTTTTATGTGTTGTGCAGCTTAGTTGTTCGTTCTGAATCGGAGGCAAATGGGTGTAAAGAAGGAAAGAGAATGGAAAGTGGGGGAGAGGAGAGGGGTAGACTGGTGGGTACATGAGACTGACTAATCCTGCATTGTTTTTTGGGTTTCAACTTTTTGATGGTTTTCAAGGTAGATGCATTTTAGAAAAGTAGGATCTGTATGGATGTTAGAGAACGGATTTTCTACTAGAGAGAGAAACTGGACTCCACTCCACTTCTTTCATTCATCTTAGAGAAGAAAGACTCATGATATAAGAACAATTTTTTTTAATTTCTTTTTTTTCTCTATCAATTATATCGCTTATTGTATTTTCTTTCACTAAAAGTCGTCTAAATATTAGAGGTCTAAGAATCATTTTCTTAAAAGAAAATGTAAAATTATAACTCGCCAACAAATTTTAAAGTCAAAGCCATCTTAGTGAGTATTTTTCTTTTGTCATCCCTATAACAGGAAAGGCTTCTATCATCTCATCCCATGTTCCTAATTCGATGAACAAAATAAAGCTGAGTTTTTAAATTGTAATTACAATTTTAGCCTTTTTAATTTAAATTACATGTGATTTTAATTCATTAACCTTTTTATATCCGATTAAGTCTCTATATAAAATTAAGCAAAAATTTTGTTTCCTCAATGATTTTCTTCCATCTAAATCTCGTAAGGTACATTTACCTTGATAAATTGCTCTGGGTTTTCATTTTTTGTTTAACTTTTAGAAATAAATTATAAATTTCATTTTGAAAATTTCATATTTAAGAATGTTTGTCGTTCATTTTTTAATTTTACTTCTTCATTTGCTTCACCATCTAAGCACCATAATCCATTCCCTCACCAAACATCAAGCCATCAAAACTTGATGGCAAACAACAAAACCCATATTGTTTCCATCTTCATATGGGAGAAGTTAATTAGTTTGAGCTATGTTCTAAATTGCGAAGGTGGTTGCAATTTTATTGTGATACTTAACAAATAAATTGCATAAAAATACAATTGTAATTGTGAACCAGAATTTAAAACCATGGTTTGAGCATAAGAACTCATCGTCATCCACGTCAGGATGTTGGTGTTGGAAGAGGTTAAGTGGTCGACATCGTTGGAGTTGTATAGGTTGCGAACGGTTCTTGAATGCACACACTATTGTTGTTGGAGGGACTCCTCTACCTGATGTTTCAGGGTGCGATATGTTGGGTAAAATCGCGAACGCTTTCAAAATGTTTCAAGAAAACACTTTTTTATTTCAATTTTGATTTTGATTTTCTATTTTTCATGGAAATGAAAAAAAATGCAAAGAATAAGTCTTTATATCCTTATTTTCTACTCAATTTCTCAAATTGCATTGTTTAATAAATTATTTTAAATATTCTCTTGTCCAAAATTAATCATCCAAAATATAAAATTTCAATCAGAATAAAACCTCACAAATATTCTTCTATTCAAATACTAATAACACGTGTTACATAATCCTTTAAATTTTTAACTACATTTTCTAACTTTTAGTTTTTTAAAATTATTTCTTATCTCAAATTTATCATAAATCCCCTAAATACTTTGATAAAAAAAATAAAAATATGAGGGTTTTAAAAAAAATGACGGAGGACTAATTTAAAAAATAAAAATAAAAAGACTTATTTGAATTAAAAATATTTTGAGTACTAAAATCACATAATTTAAACTTAAAAGACAAACAATATAAGTAATTTTTAAAAATTGTTTTGTTTTGAACAACAAAGAAGATATAGATATATTAATTAGAAAGAGGATAGAAGGTATATATAAGGGATATCCAACCCATGCAAGTTAATTATAGGCTACAACAAAAGAGTGAATTAAATCCTTTACCCCAAAAGAACTAAAAAAAACTCCTCTAACACTCCCTAACTAATAGAAAATGAATTTGTAATAGTGTAGTACAATCTATGCTCCATTCTCATATTATAGTTGCACCTCATGCTTGTAGCCACCCACTGCCGTTAATCATACATAATACTAGATTATCGCACCATTAAGAAAAAGTAAAATTGAAAGACTTTTGAAGCATATGAAGCCATGACCAAGAATATAACACGTTGTCTTTCATGAGTTTGTCTTTCTCAAAATGTTCACTTTTAAAGACATTAAGATTTCTATAACTCCAAATTCACTAACTTGTAGCACACCAAACCACGAGTCAAATCACCACCGCTATTTTATATTGGATAGGCCTTGGAATGAAGTTAAAATGTTGTTCCAAGTCTTTAGGAGGGGATGAGAGGCAATTTAACCAAGATAGTCATTGTTTCCAAATGCAATCCACCAAGGGGCAAGTACAAAAGATGTGTGAAGAAGATTCAACAATAGAGAATCAAAAGAAGTAAATAGTGTGTTGTGATTACAGCACAATACTTCTCTTTAATAAATTAATTCACTATGGTTGGTAGAGCACTATGCAAAAATCTCCATGCGAAAATAAGGACCTTTGAAAGCATTAAGAGATTCTAGATTTGTAAAAAGTTTTGATCCACTTTGTCTTCCAAGTTGTACAAAATGGATATACTTATATGTTGTTTTGACTATGAAAATCCTAGATTGATCTAACAACCAGATCCATGCACCAAACTGATCTTTATGAAGGATTACACTTCTAAGTAATTACTATAAAGATTGTTCTTGCCTTAACTCTAATTCAAACCAATTCTTGTGTCATCTAAGCTCCTAAGCACAACTGCCATGAGTCCAGCTTCCCATGTTAGCAACTATATCCAATTGTTCTAAATTTGGAAAAAAAACCTAAGATAAGTCACTATTAAACACTCATGGCCATTCCAATTATCTAGCCAAAATCTAGTTTGTGATCTAACCCAAAGCTTTCAGCTTACCAATTTATCAAACCATTTCTCTTCATTATCACCTCAACAAACTTTTAACAGATCATGCCCTACCAAATAGAAGCTTTACTAGAGGCATTCCTTGAGCACATTGCAACACCCACCATATTTTTAGATCAATACCTTTCCCTATAATGAATCTAGCTGATGAAAGAAATTATATCTCCACTTCACCAAAAAGATTGCATTGAACGTAGTAAGGTTTTTAAACCCCTCAAGACCCCTTGTACTTTTGATCAAGTTACTTTGTCCTAGTTAACCAATATTATCTTCTTTTGCCCTTCATTGCAACCCCATAAAAATCTTCTCTTAATTGGAATTAATTGTCTACCAACGAAATTTGGAATTTTGAAGAAGAATGAATAATAGGGTAGCAACAACGTTAGAACTAAATTAATCAAGCATACCCTTCTAACCTTAGATAGGGTTTTATTCATCCACGTCGATAACTTAAATTTTTGAATAATAGGCTTTCAATTCTTTGCCTTCCTCAAGTTTGCTCCAATGGGTAAACCTAGGTAGATAAAAGGAAATTGAAACAATCTGCAATTCAAGAGGTGTGCAAAGCTCTCCAAAGAGTTCTATTCCAATCCAATCACCCCAAAACTACTCTTAGAGAAATTAACTTTTAACCTGGATACCACTTCAAAGCACCTAAGAATGCATATTATAGTAAGTACATTGTCAAGGCTAGTCTCCCTCATAAATATTGCGTCATCCACATATTGTAAGATGTTAATGTCAACTTGATCCTTACCAACCTTTATATTGTTAAACAAATTTTTATGGATTGCCTCCCTCATCATGTCTATTAGGCCTTCTACAACAATATTGAAAATGAAAAGGTGTTAGTGATTCTCCCTAACTTAGGCCAGTCCACATCTTGAATTCTTCCATTAGACTTCTATTTATAAAAATTGTAAAATATTCTTTTATTTCTTATCTATTATTATCGTCATCAAATAGGAAGACATTAAAGTTGATAAGATGAAAAAATTTGATATAAGAGTTTAAATTAATAGATTAAGTAAACTAGAAAAATGAATGAGTAAATATTTAGTTGTAGTAAATAAATACATTGGTTCACTTGATCATAAAAAAAATAAAAGAATACACTAGTGGATAAAATTATTAGGGTTTTTTTTTGTATAGCTAGTCACAATGATAAGTATGGTTATGAAAAAGGTGAAAATTAACATCAAATGATTCATAATTGTACAAATCAAAATTATGGCCTTGAAGTTAGTTCATAACAACAAGGATTACTTTCATCTTTACTTCCGTTGATCATTAATTACCTTAAAATGTCACTTTGTAACATACATAAAGCTAATTTATATGCCAATTGGCTTACAAAATATGGTACTAGCCATGATAGCTTCTTTTCGGCATTGGAATTACTATTCACCTCAATTAAATTCTTTATTGTTGCCTGATGTCATGGGGATGTTACACTTGAAGTTGTAATTTTTGTTTTTTCTTTTATTTTGTAATTCTTACTCAAAAAAAATTCTGTACGAATCAAATAAACTGAAAATGAGCCGAATAATTTAGTACATATGAAGAAATAACACCTTTTTCTCTTCAAATTCTCGAAGCACATTTTTTTTAAATAATGCGAGAGATATAGAGAAAGGAAAAGATATATAAAATAGGCTGATCATATATACACCTCTATTTTTTTATATATATACACTCCCTTTCTTTTTAAAAAATATTAAATTCTTAAATTACCCTTAATATTATTTGGAACAAAAAAATTTTATTCCGAAAAATGTTTTTCGAAAGTGTGTTTGTACATAATTCTGGAAAGTACTTTCTGGAATACTAAAATTACTATTCTGAAAAAAAAAACTTTATCGAAATAATTCCGGAAAGTACTTTCTGGAACAATAAAATTACTATTTCGGAAAATTCTTTATGGAATTATTGTAACAAGTACATACACTGTTAATGTTCCGGAAAAAAAGTTTCCAAAATTATATAAGAAACTCACTTTTAGAAAGTTGTTTCCGGAATAAAAATTTTCCAATTTAAAAAAAGTAATTTCAGTAACACTAAAATCTCCCGAGTTTCTTTTTCGAAAGTATCAACAAATTTAACAAAAGTATGGACAAATTTAAATTACCACTATACCTTTATCCACCTTTCATCGTCTACTGTTCGTCGTTCACTATCGAACCAAATAATGCCAAAATATTAATTAATTATTTATTTTTTTTGTGCACAAGTAATATTAAATAAGTTGCAAAAAATACTTATAGATGTAAAATATAATTTAACAATAATTTTTACCTTGTATTGAATGTTGAGAACGATGGAGATTGAATGAAAATTTAGGGTTTAAAGATTGATAGAGTAGAAAGAAAAATAAAATTTAAAAGACACAAACATAAGCTATGACAATGT